TTCTCCGTGACTTACTGGGACTTGAACCCAAGGCTGCCTAACTCCAGAACTTTTCTTCTTCACCTGGGGCCAGGGGTAGGGGGTGTCACTCATCCTGTCCATATAAAACAGTCCTATATTGACTGTCCTGTCGCCTGAAATGTCCTATTCTACTTTTTTTTTCCCCCAATAAATCACACGTTTTCCGCAGGGTTATTTTCCAAATGTAGCTGAACGTTAAATTTGCTAGCCAAGGAGGAGTTTGAACACTCAAGCCTAGAGCTTTATTTAGCAAACGGTCCCGCCCAGGACCCCGAGGCTTTTTCCAAAGCAATCCGCTGCCTCCTGTACCTAACCCCTGAAAGCGCGTTGAGTCTCCGGGTTCTAACCTTCTACCCGGAATAGGACACTGGGAATTCCTAAACCAGTTGCTGTTCCTTTAAGAGTGGTTCCGGGGGCGGGCCCACAGGGCGTGGCGAATCCGGGGGTGTGTACCGGATCCAGGGTGTCCAATCCCGGAGCGAGGGACAAAAGCGGGGGCGGGTCCGTCACGGGAAGGTTGGGAAGGGTTAAGAGGAGCGTCTTTGGGTCTCCGACGGTCTGGTGGCCTCCGCCTCCTTCCGTCGAATCCGCGCTCTCCCGCGGCTGCGCTGGCTCGGCAGCCCGGGAGACAAAGCACCGCCGCGGCCGCCGCCACAATCGAGCGGGTCCCGGGCCATGGCCCGGCCGCCCCCTGCCTCCGGGCCTCCGATCCCGCCACTGCTGCCATCGCCCTAGGCCGTGCCGCGAGGTAAGGCCGGCCTGACGCGGGGGGAACTTCGGGTGGATCGGCAAGGGACGCGGGACCGGGCTCGGGCCGCCGTGGGTCTCGGAGTCCCCCACGCAGTCTGGAGAGACCTCTGCTAGGGATCTGTCCTTTTGCAATTCCAAGCCAGCGGTAATTTTCCCGTCAGGGACTCCAGCTGCTGGGGCGAACTTGGTCGGTGACCCTCCGGCCCCATAAAAGACCTCGGCCGCTGAGGCAAGTCTGCGGACTAGAGAACTCCACTTGGCTCCCACATTCTGCCACCGACCACCTTCATCCACGGCTCACGCTGTCTTTGAAGGAACACACCACACACAAAAGGAGAGAGGGCAGCTAGGAGCAATGGCCTGGGATGGTGGTCCTGGCATCCTTGCAGCCCCTGCCCAGGGCAGCGCTGGACAGGAGTTCTTCAACACATGTTTTTCTGCCACACCCTCTCCAGCATGTCCACTGCTGGGTGACACTTGGGGCAGTTGGATCCAACCCCAGGACCTGGCTTCTTTCCGTGAAATGAGTGTCAAAAAAAAAAAAAGCCATGCCTCAGTTTCCCCAGACTCCTGGGTTCTGGGCAATCTGTGCCCCTGGAGACCGAGATCTAATTATTTGCCCTTGGGATAGCTTCTGACTGTGTGCTCACTACCTGCTCAGCATTTTGTAAGCTGTCTCTTCAAAATTAATATTTTCAATTCTGAGAGGGATGGCTATTAATGTACTCATTTTATACATGAGGCTGTGTTCTCAAGGCCAATGAAGCCTGGTTTGGAGGAGGCATGGGGACCAGAGAGGGGCTGGGATGGTCCCCTCTAGCTTCCTGCCTGGCCCGGGACTGTTGAATCAGCAGTAGTGCCCGCAGCGGACTCTGAACTTCTTGGAGTGTGGGGAGATAAACCGGGGACCAGGCCCTCCCAGAGGCTGGAGCCTGTGCCCCTGCTGTTTTCCTTCACCTCCTTCCTGGCTGGACTGGAGGAGGCAGGGCCATGGGCAGAGAGGGGTCCTGTGTTGGCTGGTGACCTTGGGCTCAGGGTTGGAGGGGGAAGGGGGCAGCTGCTGAGTGTGAGGGAAATTGCTGTTCATTTGGCCTTAATGGGTGGTGAGACTCTACCCTCTTGGGCTGGCTGCCCAGAGCATGCCATTCTAGGCACAGAATTCTACCTTTGGGCAAGTTATTTAAGCTCTCTGTGTCTCAGCTTCCACATCTATGAATGTGGGATGAGGAAAAGACTTCTTCTGGGGCCGTTGAGAGGTTTAAGTAGATAATTGCTTGACTCATTCTATAGGTCTTTGAGCACCAACTACATGCCAGGCACTGGAATTCCGACAAAGAATCTTTGCCCTCCTGGAGCAGGCAAAAATGACCCAGGTAATGGGTCTGAGGTTGTGGCTGAGGTGTGGGAGAATGACGTGGCAGGGTGGTGGTCCTCTTGTGTATGGATACCTTCTCCTCCTTGAGGAGGTGATGCTCAAGCTCAAACTTGGCCATCTGAAGATAAGGGAAAGGCATTCCAGGTAGAGGGAATAGCCAGTGCAAAAGCTGTGAGATGGGAATATGCTTGGTGTGTTTGTGGAACAGCAAGGAGGCCAAGGTGGCTGGAGCGGGGGGAAAGGGAGAGGGAAAGGGAACCTGGAAGACCTGGAGAAGAGTGGATTTTATAATGAGACCGGTAGGGAGCCATGGGTGCCATGGGTGCGTTTAGAGTTGGGGAGGGGTGTGATTGGGCTTCGTTTATAGGATCTCTCTGTAGGCCCAGGGGCGGGGCCTAGGAAGAAGTTAAGATCTTACCCTAAAGAACACCAACATGGAACAGGCATGGTGGAGGCAGGGAGACCAGTGAAGAGGCTACTGTCCAGGCAAGCCACGATGGTGGGGGGGGAGGGGGTGGGGGAGCTAGAATGGGAGATGGCAGTGAGCAGAGATTAGGCCCCTGATTTGGAAGAGGTTGGAGGGGGGATCAAGGTGACCTGATGAGTGACCAGATGTGGAGGTGGGGGGAATCCAAGGGCCTTTCACCAAGACAGTACCAGGGGGAGCATTTGGGGAGGCTAAGAAGAACGTCACCAGCTACCAGAGCTTAGCACGTACTGTGCCTGGCACTGTGCTCAGCGTTTCTATGTAGTCATTGTGTCATCGTCTCAACAACCCTGACTTAGGTGCTATTATTCCATTTTACAGATGCAGAAACAGAGGCCCAGAGAGGCTTAAAGCTTGCCCAGCGTCACATAGCTCGGACACTCCAGACCTGACATTTGAACCCAAAGAAGAGCAAGTCAAAACCAGAACTGGGCAGAGAGCAGGGAAGTGAGCTGTGGCCTGAGAGGTAGGAGGGAATGGGGTGAGTACGGTGGGTGGTTCCTGTGGGAAATGGGGCTGGGGTCCACATCGGTCTTGCTGGGGAGTTGGGAGAAATCCCTCCCAGTTTGCAGAGAAAGAAACTGAAGCTCAAGAGAGGGGAGGCCTAAGTCTGAAGTCACATAGCTCAGGGAGGCAGAGCAGAGATTAAACACCTTGAATATTCAGGGGCTGTGGCCTTGGTCGGATCAACTACTAGATCAGGACAGGCTGATAATCAGCACTAGATCATGGCCCATGTTGCCTCTTCCAGGAAGCCCTTCTTGAGTGTGTAGGCTGGTGAGATGAGGTGGATTGGGGATGGAGCAACTGCCTCCTCTGCCCTGGGTCAGGTTGCCTGTCTGGGCCCCACTGTAGCCGGCTGCTCCGGCTGAGCCGGAGGAGAGAGAGCCTCCTTTCTGGTAGAGCCTCATTCCTCCAGGTCGTGAGTAAGGCACTGCCCACTGGGGAGCGAACATTAATTGAGCACCTGCTGCACTCCAGCGACTTTATATACTTTGCTTCTTGAACAGCGTGGCCACTGTCCTATGTAGAGTGAGATTTTGAAGTAGGAGCACAAGATGCATTTGTAGCGCGGCCATGAAAACCCTAGGGGAGGGTGAAGCCACACTGGAGACTCATATGCCACCTACATCCTACTTGGCCATCATATACTCCTTGGGGTAAAATCACTGTGGCCAGGTGCATAGAGTCAGATGCCTCTACTGCAAATGGGTGCACAGTGCTCTCCCTCCAGCCTCTCTCACTTGTAAGAGTGAACCAAGTCGTGGGCCGTGGTCTGGATTTTGTAACAATCTTTTTTGCCATTCTGACTGCCTCCCCCACCTCTCCCCTTCCTCACTCTGCTCCAGCCTCACCAACAACCTCAGGCACACCAGCAGCTTCCTACCTCAGGGCCTTTGCACTTGCTATTCCCTCTGCCTGGCATGTCCCAGGGGCTCAGTCCCTCACCTCCTTCAGGTCTCTGCTCAAATGTCACCTTCTCAGTACAGCTTTTCTTTTAAAATCAAAGTCTCCTCTTGTCCTTAATACTTTTGATCTCTCCTCCCTGTCTTATATTTTCCACACCATTTAAGACCATTTGACAGATGTACCTTGCCTGTTTTGTTAACTGTCTACTCCCTTCACCTGCCACTAGCATATCAGCACCAGGAGGGCAGCGACTCTCTCCATCTTGTTTACTGCTCTATACCTAATGCCTAGAACAGTGCCTGGCACACAATAGGTGCTTAATAAATGTTTGATGGATGAAGTCCCTATTGTCCTCTGAAATAGATTCTGTTCACATCCCTATTTCATGGAAGAGCAAATCAAAGCAGACATCAGCAGAGATGGGATCTGACCACGAAAGGTCAGCTGGTCTGGTACCCAGGGGTGATAGAATTAGCAGTGCCTGAAAAGAGGCCTGGGTTTGGATTTCAGCTCTTGGCCCAACTTGCTTTGTGGCCTTGGACCAGTGGACTAAGCTCTCTGTACTTTGTTTCCCCACCTGGCAAAGGGGTGAGGCTGGTCCGGCCACCTAAAGGATGTTTCGAGATTAAATGACTTCATGTATATAAAATGCTTGGCAATGCCCTAAGAATCCTCACCATTATTTGGGGGAGGTAGGATGGCGGGAGAGTTAACCAGCCTGACCTCTGGGGCCAGTCAGACTCGGGTTCGAGTCCACTTTCTGCTCTTGAAGAGGTGTGTGAGCCTGGGCAGGCCGCGTCTGCTCTTTGAGCCTCAGTTTCCTCATCTGTGAAATGGGGGTGGGGTGGGGTGGTGATGAGTGCTGTGGCAGCCGGGGTGGTGTGAGGTCACATGAGGCGGCGGCCGTATGAATAACCACCGCCCCGGTGGGGGGACAACAGGTCCCGGGCACGCGCCATGAAGCTGAACGAGCGCAGCCTGGCCTTCTACGCCACCTGTGACACCCCGGCCGACAACACGGGCTTCCTGTACAAGAAGGGAGGCCGGCACGCGGCCTACCACCGCCGCTGGTTCGTGCTGCGCGGCAACATGCTCTTCTACTTCGAGGACGCGGCCAGCCGCGAGCCGGTGGGCGTCATCATCCTGGAGGGCTGCACCGTGGAGCTGGTGGAGGCCGCCGAGGAGTTTGCCTTCGCCGTGCGCTTCGCCGGGTCGCGGGCCCGCACCTACGTGCTGGCGGCCGAGAGCCAGGCCGCCATGGAGGGCTGGGTGAAGGCTCTGTCGCGGGCCAGCTTCGACTACCTGAGGCTGGTGGTGCGCGAGCTGGAGCAGCAGCTGGCGGCCGTGCGCGCGGGCGGCGGCCCACCCCCGGCCCGCCGGCCGCGCGCGCTTCCGTCCAAGGAGAACGGCTGCGCGGTCTGGAGCGCCGAGACCCCAGCCGCCTCCACCCCGGTTAGGGCCAATCCCGGCTCCCGGCCCGGCCCCGAGCCCCCTCCACTGCCGCCCCGCCGGCGGGCCTCGGCGCCCAACGGACCTCTAGATTCCGCCTCCTTCGCCCAGCTGCACGAGTGGTACGGACAGGAGATCAGGGCGCTGAGGAGCCAGTGGCTCAGCAGCCAGGCCCAGCCCTGAGACGCTGGGGGACCTGGTCGTGAGGGAAATCACCATCAGGGTCAGCCCTGAGGTCCCTGCCGGGTCTGCCTTCGGGAACTCAAGGTGCTGAGAAGATGCTGGATTCTGAGGGATGCTTTGGGACCTCTGTAATTCAGAGAGAGCCTAGCCTTGAGGCACCGTGCCCGATTCTCAGGAGGCTCCAGGCCCTAGATGATCCTCAAGCAGCCAGAGAGCTGTTTTTGTGGGAGCTGTAGCCCCAAACCCATGCCAACAGGTGCCTTGGTCGCCTGTCTTGAAGCACCGAGCAGAGGCTTGTTGCTGGCGACACGCCTTGGCCGGGGCGCTTGGGACCTGCTAGGACCTATGGACTGGAAGGCACATGCGCAGTCAGCACTGGTCCAGACTCGGCCCCACGTGGTCAGGAGGCCGGGCTGTGCTGCACCACACCTGGGCCTGTCCTCCTTTTCCTCCAAGGCCTGCTGGAGGAGCTGCCTGGCTCCCAGCCACCTTCCTGCCTCCATAAGCAGCAGGTGCAGAAAGGCAGCACTGGTGTGGGTTTTCATGTATGACCTGCACCGGGCTTCTATCCTGGAGCAAGGCCCAGGCAGGACTATTCCTGGGGCCTCAGGCAGGACTATTCCTGGAGCCTCAGCCAGGCCTTGGGGTGGTGCCTCCGGGGCAGTAGACCCTCTAGCCTTGGGCCATGTCTGTGTGCCTGTGGCAGCTCTCACCCTCTCCTAACACTCCTTAACCACATCCTCTGTTTTCTCCCAGAGCCAGCTCTCCCGTCCTTGGCCTGGGGTTGGGCCTCGCAGGAGCCCGCCTGACCTTGTCCAGTCCTGGGCCGGGCAGCCGTGGCCTGAGCTGACTTCCCAGCAGGTGCCCCTGTGAGTCTGAGCTGACTCACAGCCCAGAAAGGGTCCAGGTGCCAATCTGATAGGGGCAAAGCAGCAGCTGCCAAACCATGTCTGGCTTCCAGAACCCTCTCCCATCACAGCTTGTCTCCGTGCTCCCCAACTCAGCCCCACTGTCGCCCAACAATATTCTGAGGGAGACGAGGTCTTGCTTTGCCCCGCACTCAACTTCTGGTTTTACTGTTATTCACTCACCACAGTGGCCATTTTTCATCCAGGGAGAATCTCCGGGGGCTGGGACACCCTGGCCTCAAGCTGGGTCATGTTTACAGTCCTCAGTGCCTCAAAATTGGGACCCCCTGAGGACACCTCCGCCCTAATCTTTATTCCCCCAGAGGCTCCCTCTTGGAGACACAGACTCGGCCCTTGGCCCCTTCCTGCTGCCTTTGGAGACCTCGGGGCTTGGGAAGAATGGGGGCTGTCTGTGTGTCTGCAATCACCAGCTCACTGCTGGCTCAGCTGACTGGCGTTTCAGTTTTAATTTACTTTTTAATACTTTGGGGTGTCTTTTTTTCCTCCTAGCAACAAAGTTTGGTATTTTTGCTGTTTTTGTTTCTTGTTGGTTGGTGAAGGGATAGGGTGCCCTGGTTCTGGGCTTGGCTAGTGGCAATGGGGGGTAGTTGGTACTGCCCCTGGGGTGGCGGCAAGGAGCCTTGGCTGGGGACAAAGGAACCTCAAGAATCTCACCTGACTCTTTGCCTTCTCCCTGGCGAGCCCTGCTCAGCTGCAGGTGCCTCTGGGGGTCTTGGTACACTTCCCATCCCCCCTTCCCCAAGTCCTGAGTGGTGGGGCGGGGTTGGCAGCTCTAGTCTATAGGCTCTGGGGTCTCAGGGGGTGTTAAGAACTGTTAGGTGCCCATGTCCTGGCCAGACCCAGCTAGTGTGGTGAGGCGCTGGCTCCAGTCCTGGTGTAGGTTTATAAGCTCTAAAGGTACAATCTCCCCCCACCCACCCTCAAAGCCCCAACATGGGGTCAGGCTGCCTCCAGAGCTGGGCAGGGGAGAGATATAAAGCAGGCTGGGAGAGGGAAATAGAGGCTAAAATGAAATAAATAAAAAGTTTATCAAGTAATGGCTGGTGATAGCTTTTTTTTTTCCCCCCATTTAAACCCTGGACTGACTGGCCTGGCAGAGCCAGGAGCGAGCCCTGCGAGAGGTGACGAGTGTGTGCTGAGTGCTCCCTGGCTGATGCTTTGTCAGGAACATTCTTACCACCTCTCATGCAGATACTGGCCCCCTTTTACAGGTGAGGAAACTGGCTCAGAGAGGTTAAGACATCAGCCAGGTTCACACAGATCAGAAGTATCAGAGCAGGGCTGTAAACCTCCGGAAGCCTGTGGAAGAAGACATGAGCCTTTGAGAGGAATGTGAGGCAGTGGGGCCCCCAAGTTCCTTTTCAGAGGGGAATGCAGAAGAAGGCAGCGGGGAAGGTGAGGTGTAGAAAGGTCAACTGTGGGTTGAAGGCCTGACAACTGGGAGGGACCCCAAAGGGGAGAGCCACACCTGGCTCTCCTCACTGATCAGGGCCCAGAGAGAGGAGGATTCTGGCACCAGTGCTAATTCAGAGGGAAATAGCCTGTGACTAGTGATGTCTGCTGTGAACAAAGGGTGGATGGCTGCTGTGTTTATGCTGTGTATCTGTTATCGCACGTATGGTTGCTGGGCTGATGGGGGATTCACAGATGGGAAGGGGCTGGCCCAAGGTCATCCAGCATGATAGACTAGCCTTTAGGTTCTTTTATTTATTTATTTTTTTCCTTAGGTCCTTTTAACATGGATTCAGAGCTGGGTCACATGCCTCTTGACAGTCTGGAAAAATCATGTGCATCCAGGAAAATGTGGCTTAGGATGAGTAACCTGCAGTCCTTGGTCTGCAGAGCAAGTTCAAAGAACAAGAAAAATACTGAGGTCAGGAATCATGCTACTCTTGCGCATCCAGGATGTGCTGAGTAATTCCTTCCTGGTACCACAGCTGACAGATGGGGGCTGAGCCAGGGTGCTGCCTGTGGCATTGGTGACCACAGCCACTGCAGGGCCTGGGGCACAGCATGGAGAGAAGGCCCCCAGAGGGAGGGTCCCAGGGAGGGAAGCCCTCACCTGCAGGCTTCTTGGGAACATTTCCATGGAGCTATGAAAGTGGAAGGGGTGACAGATCACTCAGTGGCCACCTGCTAACAGTGTTTCCTTTTGACTCAAGGGAGGTGTGCAGGGCACCTGCCTAAGGAAGACCACAACATCCCAGGATCATGGCAAAGTCAAGGAAGTTGTCTTCACTGCAGCAGTCTTTGGGGGGTACTGTATGTGTTCAGAAGGAATATTCTGAGAAGCCGCCTTGGGGCAGGGGATGAGAACCTCATGGAGGGCAATCAAGCCAGAAGTTATGGCTCCCTGCCCAACATCCATCCACCCTAAATGATTAGTCAAATTCTCTCAGTTATGCTACTCCCATTTTGTTTGCAGGGACTGGATAAACTTGACCTGCTAAAGAATGGCTGTGTGTTGGGGTGGTGGCAGGTGAAATGAGTGAAGAGGGCCAAATGTATGGTGATGGATGACAACTAGATTTGTGGTGGTGATCACTTTTCATGTATATAGATGTTAAAGAATGGCTGTATGACCCCATTTTGGCCAATGAGATGTGAGTGGAAGGGCGTTCTTGCTTCTAAAAAGACACAAAGCGCTCTGGGAGTAAGCTATGTCTGAAACCTGGAGCCATGGCAGCCATCTTATGTTCATGAAGTAGGTCACGTTAAAGAAAAGATCCCCTGCTGAGTTTAGCACACATTGAAAATATCCCTGAACCACTGAATCGTGGACCCAAGAACTTACCCTTTTTCTGGAAGTCTTGTTGTTTGAGGTAATAAATGTTTAAAACTTTGGGGGAGGGGCTTTTTCATTATTTGTAGTCGGAGGCTTCCTAATGGACAGCTTGAGTGACAGCTGCTTCTCCTTTTAAGGAGCATGGCTCTGGGTAGGCAGCCCCAGAAAGGATGTTGTCAGCTCACTGGGGTGAAGGTTAGGGCTACAGTGGGATTCTCTCGGGGAGGAAAAGGGCCACTTACCACCCCCCCCCCCATCCTTTCCCTGTATGCCTTTTATCTCTCCTCTTCCAAGTGAACAAATATGGAATGAATAGCCCTTTCCTCCCCCTACTTCTGGCCCAGTATCTTTTATCTTCCTTAACAGGGCTGTTTTGTCTCTACTCTGGCTAGATCTGGTGCCAACTGTCCAGCGCCTTCCCCTCCACCGACACCCCTCCCCAGATCACCTTACACAAAGTTTGTTAAGGAAAAGGCCCTGCTACTTGTCCCAATTTCTAAGACTGCAGCATTCAAAATAACTCTTCCATGGCGGTACAATGAAAGACTGCTTAAGTCCAGCTGCAGGTTTTGCATTTTCTGATCAAGACTTTAAAGATGAGCCCACGAACTATTTTTTACTTAGGGTTTCAAAACGGAAGCCCACTCCTGACAGAGGGCTCAGAGCTGCCTTGGCTTGGTCTACCTGTACTTGGGGCCACGGCTGCATCTCTTCTTGCCAGGCACAGCTCTGAAAGCACTCGGGCTGCTGCCACTGCCCTCTCCTCATTGCCCAGGGGCTCTGTTGTCATTGTTTCTCTAGTTATGGGGCCAAGGAATGGCGGGGCAGTGCACCCAGACCCCCAAAACTACAGCTCCTTAGAGAGCAGGGACAGGTCTGCCTCCCATGTACCCCTGAGGCCTGGCACAGTGCCGGGCACAGATACGTCCAAAATTGCCTCCTGGGACTTCCCTGGTGGTCCAGTGGTTAAGGAATCAGTCCTGCAATGCAGAGGATGCAGGTTCGATCCCTGGTCAGGGAACTAATATCCCACAATCTGCAGGGCAACCGCAATCAAGTCTGGGTGCCACAACTAGAGAAAGCACGCATGTGGCAATGAAGACCCAGCACAGATTAAAAAAAAAAAATGCCTCCCGTGCCCATTCACTCGATCCTACTCTCCCTGACTTACAGCTGCTTGGGCAGGAGTTGGTCCTGAGACACCAGCTGAACCAATAAGGGTCCTAGGAATTTTGAATGGGTGGGTATGACAGACCAAATTGGATATGAGGTGGCCTTAGGCAGAGAACAGAATGGCTCAAGATAAGTGTCCTGAAACCTGGCTGAATTTCTTGCCTCTGGGTTTCCCAAGGTTTACTCTGGATCTTCCCAATAAACTGCACACCTTTAAGTGGATCATGTTTCTTTCAACTCAACAGTTACTGACTACGCAAAGACACCCAGCATCTCCTAGTTCCTGACACACGAGGTGGGGCCAAACAAAGCAAAATGAGTTAGAACTGCCTCCCATTCACTAAGCTCTATGATGTCTGAGACAACTGGGGGGTGGGGGGAAAGATGTGGGTGTGGTTCTTTAAAATGCAGATTCCTGGGCCCTGGCTACAGGAATTTGGGGTCAGGAGGTTGCAGCAGGACCTAGGAATCTGCACTTTGAGTAGGGAACAAGGGATTTTAGAACCACAGCTTGAGAAATGTTCATTTGATCTTCAAAGAAACTTATAAGGCAGGATGGCAGGCAGCCTCCCTGATGGCCCCTGCTGATCCTTGCCTCCTGGGGTCCACACCCTTGTGAAGTCCCTTTCTACAGCTACACAAGCCTGTGTAGCTGAGAGGGTTCTATGGACAGTGGGGCTTCTGAGTCTAGGTTGTAATAGGAGACACTCAAACCTCTGCCTGGCTCACCCTCAGCTGGCATGTGGTGAGGGCACTCAAGCAGCCCCTGGAGAGGGCCACTTGCAGAAGAACTGCAATGCCCAAGTGAGGGCTGGCACCTGTTCACTCACCATCTG